CCAAGACCCCCTGAAAGGTCTCTGATGACACCATGGCCCAGATGATCCAACATCCAGAATGGTTTGAAGGCACTGGCTCAGACAATACAGCCTCACGGACTATTCCATAATCCTAAAATTTTCTTTGTGTCCCCATAAGATACAGCGCCCCCCTCCAGCAGGAAGTAGTAAGAGAAGCTACGCCCAAATTCCCAAATTATATGTAATTTTACTTTGTTAAGGTTAAAACCTTCCTTTTTGAAAAAAAAAGGGGGGGGAAGTGCTGTGGGATGTTCTGTATGGTAAATGTGTTGCTAATTAGTCAATAAATAAAACACTGATTGGCCATTGGCTAGGCAGGAAGTGTAGGCAGGACAAGGAGGAGAATAAAGCTGGGAAGTGGAAGGCTGAGTCAGAGACACACTGCCAGCCGCCATGATGAGAAACAGCATGTGAAGATGCCGGTAAGCCACAAGCCACGTGGCAAGGTATAGATTAACGGAAATGGATTAATTTAAGCTGTAAGAACAGTTAGCAAGAAGCCTGCCACGGCCATACAGTTTGTAACCAATATAAGTCTCTGTGTTTACTTGGTTGGGTCTGACGGCTGTGGGACTGGCAGATGAGAGAGATTTGTCCTGACTGTGGGTCAGGCAGGAAAACTCTAGCTACAGTGGGACGCTGGACTGGGAGACATAACGCCCACCCCTCAGAGCAGGTGTCTTCCTCTGGCTCAGGAGCTTGGAGGAGACCCTGGCACCATTCCCACAGCCCCTGCATTGGCAGACACTTCACATGAGTAGGTTACTATACGATGGGTTTGCCATCCATCCTTTTGGACAATGAGCACTGAGAACCCAGAGTCTGGACAGCACAATGTGTTTTCTAATGCTGGTTCCTACTCAAAAGGATGGCTTAGACTGGGTGCTGGCGCACGCCTTTAATCCCAGCACTCGGAAGGTAGAGGCATGCAGATCTCTGTGATTTCAAAGCCAGCCTGGTCTACAGAGTGAGTTCCAGGACAGCCAGGGCTACACAGAGAAGCCCTGTCTTGAAAAACCAAAACCAAGGTTGGGGGGGGTGGGGTGGACACAGATGGACAAGAATGGTTTAGTAAGAAAGACACCATCACCGTGGCCTTACCAAGCCAGAGAAAGGCTCCTGCCTGGGCTGTCTCATTTGGTTCTCACCATGGCCCTGGAAGCCAGATACTCATTATTTCCATTTTAGGAATGAAAAACAGGCTAAGAAACTTCGTCTAGCTGGTGAGGAACACTGCCAGATTTTGAAGAGACGTTTTCTGAGGCCAAAGACTAGAACACTGAGCACTAAAGGATAGTATCTGCATATTCACATAAGTGGGTTTATTTTACACAAACACATATTACCCGTATTTATGCCACTGTCAATACATGCACATATCAATCTGCCCCCTGTAACTGCAGGGTCTGCACCCACAGGCTTAACCTTAGAAAGATCAAGAATACTTATTTTGTAAAAGTTGTATTTGTACTGAATGTGTACAGGTATTTTTTTGTCATTATTTCTTAAACAATGCTATTCACATCACTTTTCTATCTGTCAGGTAGTGTAAACTAGGGGTGGTTTAAAGCACATGGAGGGATGCACAGGGATTATATACAAATACACCATTTGATATAAAGGACTTAGACTTGAGCACTCATGGGGTTTGTTATTACAGAGGGTTGTGGAACCAATTCTAGATATGGAGGGATGACTATGTATTTTTGTATTCATTTTATATATACATATTACAATATACAGGAATACATATGAATGTGACATATATATACACCTATATATTCCAACCTACAAACATGTACTGGTAAATATGAGTGTAATAATAAAATGCCCTGGTCCTCAGAGGATCCACATTCCAGTGAGTGTTTTCTTACTTCACACAGAGATCCAAATAAATTCAGGATAAAACTACATAAGCAAGGTCTAGTGTTCTTCAAAAGACAACATCTTCACCAGGTGCTGAAGTCCTCCTTCAGCAGAGGCTACGGTCCTCCATGACACCCTAAGGACCATGAACTCAGTTGGCAGCTCACTGCCAGCCTACATCTCCTGAGGACCCTGACAGGGTTCTTCTTGACCATCTTTCCCACCCACCACACCCCAGAGGTAAGCAGGAGGTTTGTGTTGGGACTTTAAAGAAACCTTTCGTTCCAGAACCTGCCCAGAGCCAGGGAGGGACCCGGACTTAGCTCAAATGCTAACCCATCTCCCTGCTCCCTTCCTATCACCATCTACCAAAACAATACAGGCGTGGTGGGCTCCCCTTGAAGGAGACAAGAGACGTGCAGGCTGAGGTTGCTGAGCTGCTGTTGGAGCGAGGGAAGTGACTTGATCCATGGTGGTCCAGTGAGGTCACATCTGCACTTGTGAAAGTGGCCAGATGTTACCGAAGGAAATGAAAAGACACCAAGGATCAAAGCAGGATTCCAGCACAGCACATCAGTTCACACCTGTTCTGGATCCCTGAGGAGCTGGTTAAAAACCGACTCCTGCAGGTCCTGGTGGTATACACTTGCAGTGCCATAATCCAGTGCTCAGGAGGCTGAGGCAAGAGAATCGAGGTCAGCCTGGATTCTCAGTAAAATCAGCATCTCCAGCACTAAGGACTGAGAACATACACTGGAAATAACCTGCAGACACGCTCCTGAGCAGCACTTTCTAAGCAAGGCTCATGGGGGCCCCGAGACTGAAGCAGCAAGCACGGAGCCTGTAGGGGTCACGCTAGGTCTTCTACATGCATGACGTGGTTGTGTATTTTGGGGTTTTTACGGGACTCCTAACAGTGGGAGTAGGGGTGTCTCTGACCCTTGGGACCCTTTTCCTCCTATTGGGTTGCCTCATCCAGACTTGATGAGGGTTTGTGCCTAGTCTTGTATCTTGTTATGCGGTGTTCAGTTGACATCCCTGGGAGGCCTGCTCTTCTCTGAAGGGAGGAGATCTAGCGGGAGAGGGGAGAGGGGGGTAAGAGGAGAAGAGGGAGGAGAAATTGTGATCAGGTATTATATGAGAGAAGAATAAATTTTTTAAAAAAGTCTTGTTTCAGGGCTGGAGAGATAGGGCAGCAGTTAAGAGCACTGACCACTCTTCTAGAGGACAGGGGTTCAATTCCCAGCACCTACATGACAGCTCACAACTGTCTATAAACTCCAGTTCCAGGGCACCTAACACCTATGGCAAAACACAAAAGCACATTATAAAAAAAAATCTTGGTCCATCCCTTCTAAGCCTTTTGTTGTGTCTGCTCTGACCAGTTGTAAACATCAGAGCTGGGTGTGGTGGCGCATGCCTGTAGTCGTCGTCATGTCCGTCCGTCCGTCCATCTGTCCGGCCATCATCGTCGTCGCCCCCACCCCCCCACACACACACAGGCAGGCGGATTTCTGAATTATAGGCCAGTTTTGTCTACACAGTGTATTATAGGCTGGCTGGGGCTACACAGTGAGACCCTGTCTCAGAACAAAACAAAGAAACAGCAACAAAATTATGGTTATTAGAAGGGACATATTCCATATGCTTTCTTGCATTTGCTTCTGGGCTTGCTTCTGTTTTGTGTAGAACAGAAATCAATATTCCCCCACCAATCATGACAAGCAAAAAAAAAAAAAAAAAAAAAACTACCAGGTCCTCCATCTGTGCTTTTCGGAGGGTGGCTTCGCTGCTTTGCTCAGAATGACCTGGGGACATGAGACACCAATGCGGGGCAGCATGACACCCACAGTGGTCGCATTCTTGTGCATTATTCTAAATTTTTCTGATTGTCAGTAAGAACTACAGATAGACAGACAATCATGATACATTCACAGTATTACACAGCGGTTCACTGGGATTCTAAAACACCCTCACCATTTCCAGGCTGCATTATGCATTAAACACTGTCCCACCTCCTGCTCCCAAATCTCTGGCAACCACTCCCCTGCTTTCTCTCTCCACAAAGTCATTGATTCTGATATTACTGATAAATTGAATCACGTACTAGATGGCATTTTGTGTCGCCCTGAGCAATTTTACTCCATCTCTACTCCCAAAGAATCAGAAACAGATGTCTAAACAAAAACTAGCCATGAGAACTCATGGCAGTGCATCACAGTAGCACCCCAAAAGGAAAAACATTGGTCTGTCAGCTGAATAAATGAAAAGATGAAACACGTTGTGTCCATACCGTGGAACAGTGCTCCGCTAGCTGTAAGAAGGAATGAAGTACTGGTTTGTAACACATCTACCATGTTGGACACCAAGGGAAGGGTACGGGTGAAAGGGATGGGCAGGCGACTCCGCAGCTCGACACGTAGGAATTTCCTTACACCGCAATATTTGGCCATAAGCCCAAATGCTGTCCCATCAGAACAGTTTCTCAGGCCAGCAGTCCACCAGGAGGGGCAAGAGACACTCACTGTTGGTGTTCCCGTGACCACGCACCCCTTACCTCCTACTCCACTGTACACCAGGCAAGTGTGAGAAGACAGCACACACTCCCAGCACAGTCGAAGCCGGGTGAAGTGTGCATGACTAAAACAGAAACTGAGTTCTCCCTAGGCCATGCTGACGAACCCTGCTCTGGGTCAGCGGAGAGGCGGGGAGAATCGTTTGTAGTTCTGCAACAGATCTTTCTCCTTAACCCACATGTTACTTTGGAATATGCTACTGTAGCCAACAAGGCACCACACAGATTTTGGGTTGTGTATATTTGGGCACCTAATTCGGTTTTGTGCTGAGAGATGAACGAAAACCCCACATTCCCCTCCTCCACGGCATCTGACAGGGATGATTAGTCTGAAATCAACAGGAATATGACAGCTATCCCAGGAGTCTGTCTTCACACACTGACAGGCCCTGACACAGAGGTGGGTATTCCCAAAGATCTCAGCTCTTCCTTTCTTTCAAAAGCTCATTCTGGAGCCTGGTGGTTACACTGTTCTAGAGAGGTTCCGCCAAGGCGAACCGGGCAGGGCTCCTGGAGGCGGACGGGGCTCGGGGCTTACCGCTTCCATCAGACCCTTCACCGTGGGCGACTTCAGCATCAGAGCGTCGAACACGTCATCGTTCTCCTTCCTCACGTACAAAAGCACTACAAGAGAAGGGAGGACAGTGTGACTAGAGGCCAGGGGACCGCGCCCCGTCACAGGGTGTCTCAAGATGACATCGCCTGCCCCGCCAACAGGCTAATGCCTTCTGGAACGTGAATGCTCTGCCGCCTGTGTCCTCGCTAGAGTTTCTCGAGATGGCACGTGTCTCCTGTGACTACTCTTTCCTTTGACTTCCATTTGCAACTTTGCTCATTCAGTGACACCACTGAGGGCTTCTGGGTGTATTCAGCAAGAGCTGGTGTTGTCGCAGAGAGCTAGCTAAGCCCAACCTCTGCCTTAGGGAGTTTGTGGTCCACCAGGAGGGGAGCAGGCTTCAGGTGAGCCAGACACCATCGTGAGAATCATGAAGGGAAAGCCATGACACAATGCTTCCCAGTCTGCTCTTGCCATGGTGAGGGCCCGGAAGTGGGGTTCAAGGATCTCTGAGTTGTGAAGATCATGGGAGCATCAAGTCTAGGAAGGGACGATGCTGGGAACGTGAGGAGGCCAGGCAGACAAGCTACAGGTGCACAGACCTGTCAGGTCAACAGGGTACTACTGCCTGGGACAGTCCAGGAAGGACTAAGGAGATGGAGATTCGCAGATCTGAGTCCGGCTCAAGCCCTGCCATGACCCTAAGGGCCTACTCTCTCCAGGCCTGGGTTACCTGACAGGACACTAGCGTCTACCACATCGGATTGCCGGCGGGTTCTGTGAAGTAAGGCCCGCGAGGTAGACTCACTCTAGGCCCACACACATAGAGACCCAGTCTTCAACCTACGGAAACTGTCAGGAAGCTGTTGGGGTTCTTATAACCTCCGACTGGGACACAGCTTCTCTATTCATTTCTCTGTAAAACTTCTGAATTGGAGAGGCTACTGACTAAGATGGGATACGCAGAGACCGCGGATCCTTGGCGATGTAAATGCACCTCGGAGAGGCTAAGCTGCGCCTGCAGGACATGGCCACCCCTGCTGCTGCTTCTCCTGATCACTGTGCCTCCAACTGTGCTCACCGTTCTGGTGATCATGCTGCAAGGCAGTTCCCAGGAAAAAAATGGCCACCATGGCTCAGGTGCAATCCTGCAGCCAGAGGGCTGACTATTCTTTCTGTCCTCCAGTGGCATAACCTCCCGTGGGAAGAAACGGGCCAAAGCCGAAACCCCGCATCTCTCCACACTAAGGAAAAACCCCACGAGCCTAGTTCTAAACTGTGGTCAAATGTCCTCCTAGCTACTATCACCACCCGCCTGAGAACAAGAACTGGACCGTGAAAGCCGATAAATCCAAACCCCCACACCTCCCCTCCTCCATCCCCAAGGCTTCCTTCCCTGAAGCCTCGGCTTCTACAGACCACGTGACAGGGACTCTGCCCAAGCCCCCTGCTGGACAGTGAATGTTCAGTTACACTATGATGGAGGGAGAAGAGAGAGGGAGGAGGGAGCGGTGCCTTCTCTTTATCAAATATAAAAATGAAATTCCAGTTAAATAAGTAGACTGACTACAGTGCCAAGGATTTTCAAATTTAGTCTCTTGAAGCAATGCTGTATAGCCGACATGCCAGTTAAAACTTTATCTAGTAACCTTGATAAAGGTTATCAAAAGAGGAGGCCATGTGAGTAAAATACAGAAACCACTTAGAACACAGACCCTAATTACATCCAGATAAGGAAATTAAATTCACGGAGAAGACAAAACTGATTGCTAGTATTTGATGGAATGACTTGGTGGAAAGTCTGTGACTTCTTCCTGAAGCTCTCAACAGCCTAAAGCAGGGGAAGCAATTTCCAGCGGGCTGACCCTAGGGAAACCTGGCATTGCGGTCTATTAAAATGAGCATCACTTACAAAAGACCTCCACTCAAACCACTGTCTTTGGAACGTTGTCCTGGCTGCTCAGCAGCGCCTGGAAGGTGCTGAAGCATTGTGGGTGTGTTAGGGGAAGGGGCGGGAGTCAGGAGTGCCAGCCGTCCCTTGCTGGCCTTGTTGACAGCATCCTGGAAGTGTGCTGGGCTCCAGACCACTAGAGGGCTCGCCCAGAGACTCAGCTTTCATTAGCTGCGTTCTGTGGTGGAGCAGGGGTAGGAATCCTTCTACCAACAGCAGCAGACCAGCCACTGAACACCCCGACACCACACAGCCAAAGGCAGAAGCCTCTCGTGAAACCCCAAAATGATTCTGACCCATCACCCCACAAGCAGCTGCAAAGGAAAAACAACCATCAGCAAGGCCTTTGGTGCTGATTGTGACCACCTCCTTCTTGGGAAACTTCTGGCAGGTAACCAGTAGGAGACAAGCAAGGGCCCAGTGACTTCTCCATCCTTCTCCAAAGAGGAGTTGGGGGCAGTTTTCTTACTGCTGGTGGGTTAGGGCACCCCCTACGTCTCTCTGACTTCAGAAACCATGCCCTAACTTTTCATTAGTGCCCGACACAATTTCTAGTGGCGAATCTGGTGCCAGTTTCACAAGCTCTGAAAATAGTTGTTGGAACAGCTACCAGGTTGTGAATGTGGGGCTGAGGTACAGTTCCACACCCCAGAGTGACTCTTGGTTTTCCTAGGACTCTGCCCTAACCCTAAGTAAAGTTAGGGAGGAAAAGACACCAAGGGATGGAGATGAAAATGTGTGATGGTGAGCTGGAGCCAGAGGTTTCATGGGCATGTCCAGGCTACTGCTGATCACATGAACCATTGGTTCATGGAGATGGCACCACCCCCACCCCCGACACACATACACAGACACACACTGACACACACACACACACACACACACACACACACACACACACAGACACACACATCTCTTCTGAACTGTGTATCACTGCTGTGTGAGTCAGGAGATACGTTACCATCTCCTAAGGCAAAGGAAAAGTCTGTAACTGCCTATCTGTGTGAGGAAAAGCCCACCAGGGTCGGCACTGGTTCAGTCTCAGGGAGTGAGTTCTTGACAAGACACTCCACAGCCTTTACATGGGGATAGACTGTACTCTGAGCCTTGTCAGTAGCATGCCAGGATGGAGAGATACCTCGCTTTATGCTTTCTTCTTTAATCTGCTTGGACGGTGTTGGACCAAACTCCTCTTCCATGGGCCTGAACATCCGTTTAACGAGGACGCTGCTGCTGGAGAAGATGAGCAGAAACGGTTAAATACAGAAGAGTGTCACAATTCTCAGCTCTCCTGGAGCCTGTCCTCTCTCTGTTCACACCACTCCTCCCCCTGCAGGTTCCAAGTCATTCCCGCTGAGGGATAAAGCACACACCATCTTCAGAGGGAAGACCTAAGGCTCTGTACTGAAGACGGACCCACAAAGAGAATGCTGAGCTCCTCTCCTTCACTCTTCAGAAGATTAGGGCCATGGGGGCCACGGGAAAGCTGGTTTTACTAGCAGTGGCTGTGTGGCACCCAAGTTGCAGCCACCCTTCACATCCATGAGGTCTGGCTGTCCTGTGTGCTCCTGATGGTCCCTTGGAGCACAGAAGGAGACAAGACAGGCCACCTCAGCAGACCTCTGTGGGGATTGTCCTAACTCCCCACGGCTGACCCTTCCCTAGTTGCCACAGTAGGAGGTCCAATCCACTCCTTCCCTCTTCTGCTACCTCCTGGAAGATGGTGGTGCTGAGCCCTGAACATTCTCTGTGGGGTCAGTTCGGATAGTTGTGCATTCGCTTCCAAAGTCCCTGTGCGTTCCAGACACACTAAGAAAAGGGAAGGACTGTTTGAAAGGAAGAAAATTAGAAGAGAAATCAGAGAAATGGAGATTGGCTATTCTTTCATCTCAGAAATGCAGATGCAGGGCTGTGGAAAACACTGACTTTTCTGGGATTGATTGGCCCATGAACTAGTGTCTGGCAGATCACTTAGAATTCTTAGGACAGGAACTCTGAGGTCAGACCACCTTGACTGATTTAAAATCCCTGCTTTATAGTTTATTACTATACAGACTTGGACATGTTTCTCAACTTCCCTGTGCCTCAGTCTCCTTATCTTTAAAAGGAGACTGTTGACATAGAAATGACAATATTTGAGGAACTAGAAATATTAATTACACTGAGTTGATCATTACACACTGTGTACACTGTAAAATGATGATACTATGCCCTATAAATGCACACAAATATTATGGATCAAATAAAAAATAATTAATTTAATAAAACGTAAAAGGAGGCTGGGGAGGTAGCTCAGCAGTAGACTGTATACTGCTCTTGCAGAGGACTGGAGTTAGTTCCAAGCACCCACTCCAGGTAGTTCAGGCTTCTCTAACTCCAGGTCCAAGAGATCCAACGCACCTGCCTGCACGCATGTGCACATACCCACATGGAACATACACATGTAATGTAAAATAAGAAAAATTAAAAAGTTTAGAGGAGGCTCAAGAGAACCCATTGAGTGCTGGGGACTCACAAAGTCCTGGGACTCAAGGTCAACACCACTGGAACACCAGGCGAAGACAGAAGATGCTAATGATCACAGGCTGGAGAGGCTTGAGGATAAGAAAGATGGAGAAGGCTAGTTCAACTAGCACTTGGTGTTCATGGGAAATGGGCATGTAGGAACTCCAGTCTTGCAGACTGTAGCACAAAACCCCGAGACTCCTGAGTGGACTTCCTGCCATCAGAGAGGCATTCACCACTTCCCAGGTCAGTTAGTAGAAATCCAGGACACCCTACTGTGGACAGTCCAAACCATTTCCATCCATGCTTACATCATGAAACCCATGGTGCTTAATTCACCTTTTCATACGCAGAGGGTGTATCAGCCAATCAAATTCCCTCACACAAGTTCAGGCTTCACAAAGCATGCTCCACCCCCTTGCCCACTGAAGTTCCATGAGCACTCTGTGAGCCAGCCCATGTTCACAATGACAGAAGGCTCAGGCGTGTTAGAGGCCTGGAACAGGGATCCAGCTAACAGGGAAGGAAGGAGATTCACATGGGCAACCTCCAAGGAACTGCCTCATGGAAGAGTTACCCAAGAACCTGGACCCTGCTGAAGACAGGGAGTGAAGTGAGAGCAGCACCTGGACCCTGCTGAAGACAGGGAGTGAAGTGAGAGCCAGCACTGGCCTATTTTAGTCCTTCTATGCCAAACTAAAAAAACAGTTAAGGAAAAAGCTAACACTCCGGTCCCAGCTGAGGACTGTAGTACACGTTTGGGGTGCTGTCCCCATCTTTCCACGCTGCTTTGTCGTCACAGCAGGTCATGGTACCCGGACTTATCCTGGAACTGGAGTGACCATGAACTTGGGGCTGGATTTTAAAAAGAAGGAGAAAGAATCCACTTAATGGCAGTCAGAGGTCATTAAGCTAATAATTGGTAAATGGCCTGAAATACTACCAGTCACCTTCTCAAGCTGTGCAAGAGTCAAGCTACTTTACCAAGCAAGACTCATTTTTATTTTTCCAGTTCAATTGAGTTGAAAACACCTTATTCCAACCCACAGCCGACTTTTTCATTAAAATACTACCTCAGATAAACCCCATTTCTTGGGAGGCCAAATACGCTTCTCTACACTATCAGATCTATAAATCCAGTAGGAATCAGTAAGTCTTAAAGTGTCCCGAATTTAACGGTTTCATGACTTTTCAAATCAAGACCGAACAAGGCAGCTATGGCTCCCCCACCAATGAACAGAGGGCATGGGGTGCAGGCTCTGTGGTGCCCAGGCCAGGGACAACACTATACGACACTTTTCAAGGGTCAGAGAGCAACGGAACAGCACTTTCTCTCACGTCATCTCCATCCCACTGGCCACCGGGCAGAAAAACTCAGGGCCAGCAGCATAGTCAGCCCTGTGCTTGTGGGGCTGATCACAAGGAAATGAGACCCTTGGTATCAACAAACGCTATCAAGTCTCATCAGAAAAGCATTGAGAAGTGTTAGGTCTGCAGTGAGATTGGAGCTCAGGACTACGAAGGTACCCAGGATTGATGGGAACTTCTGGAGGCCAAGAGAAGTGAGCCAGACCCTTGGCAGCACTGCTGGGGGGCGGGGGTTAGCAGCTTCTTAAGCACCACACACAGTGGACAGGAAGCAGGTCAAAGTCCCGGGGGAGCGAGGAGAGCTTGGCCTGATCCTAGTCCTGATGGTAGCTCTGGTAGTACCGCTGAAGACAGTACCTCCTCAGGGCTGGACGAACGCACGTGGTGGCCTCAGAGATCTGTCTGCTCTGGCAGGAACACTCACAAATGAAACAGGGCTATGTCTTGGTAAAGGTCAGACAGCCACACAGTAGGATCTGCCACCCATCCCCACCCGCTACGCTCTCCACAGCCACAGGTCAAGAATTGAGGAGGGCTGGGTGCTGGTGGTGCACGCCTTTAATCCCAGCACTCGGGAGGCACAGGCAGGCAGATCTCTGTGAGTTTGAGACCAGTCTGGTCTACAAAATGAGTTCCAGGAAAGACACAAAACTACACAGAGAAACCCTGTCTCGAAAAAACAAAACAAGAATTGAGGAGTCCGAGCAAGGGAAGCACAGTGGCTGCAGGTGAGTGCTGGGAATTATGGGTAGGCGCTGATTCAACCCCTGCTTTGACCATGTGCCAGGACGACTTTCAAGAAGTTTCCTGACTTCTCAAAGCCCTTTTCCTCATCGCCAATGGCAGCAAATGGGAAATGTGAGAAAATCATGAAAAGAACGCACATATAGCATTCGGTATGTAGCCAAGGAATCCACAGCCAGCAACAGCCGAGCTCCTGCCACGCACTAACACTGAAGCATCAGTACTGCCCACATCGCTCCATCAGACGATGGATAAAAGTATAGGACACTGGTCTTGGAATGAATGACTGGGCCACAACACAGGGAGTCCTGATGGAGAGGCTGCACCAACGGAGTTAGTTACAGGTGGGTCACTGGTTCCTTAATGTAGTCAGCTTGCAAAGGACAGGCCGAAAGAGCCAGCGGGGTCTGCCCAGTAGGGCAGTCACTTCCCACTCTCCTAAGTTTTCCCATGAATTTTAGCTCAGGCACATTACTAAGTGAAATGCCAAGTGCTGAGTGATCTGAGAGATAGCCTTCTACAACATCCTTCGTATAGACTCAAGAAAACTAAAGCCAGGGACCGAGAGGCCGGCCTGAGGCTTCATGTGAATAAACAGCAGTCCAGGGGATGGACCTGGCTTCCTGAGCTCAACGCCAAAATTCTTTCATGACGCCACGCTGTCTCTTATAAAATATGATCGAGAGATTAGAACTCTAATCATTCCTGTTTGTTCCAGCCACTGAAATTTGATTATTTCTGTCTCAAGATAAAAGGAACAAACTAATTGTTTTTGTTTTTGAGATGGGAATTTTACCACGTGCAACAAGATGTCCTCAAACTTCTGATCCTTCTGCCTCAGCTACATGAGTTCTGAGATTACAGGCATGAGCCACAATGCTTGGCTTTCTAATCAAACTTAAGAGAATTTACAAGTGGTTTTAGAGGTTCAGCCCTGGTCAAGGTTCCAGCCCTAAGCGGCGTGAGGGTCATTTCATTCATTTCCCCTGAGATCCTCTCCCTTTGAGATGGATGCAAAGGGCCCAACAACAAATGCTTAGGCTGCGGTTTCACCAACGAAATGATAGACAATACATAAAGGAACTAAGCAGACGTGTCCGGGAAGACATTCCTTACGGAGCCTCAAGGGCACTTCATTTCACATGTCACATAACGTCAGTCTTCACGGGAGGTTTTTAAAATGGTCAAAGGCATCCTTAGTCTGTAGACCATTCAAAACCAGGGGACTGGGGCTGGGTGTGGTGGTGCACGCTTTAATCCCAGCACTCAGGAGGAAGACGCAAGCAGATCTCTGTGAGTTCAAGGCCAACCTGGTCTACATAGTGAGATCCTGTCCATCCTCCACCTGCTTCTCCCCCCCCCCCACCCCCGACACACACACACACCTGGCCCTCAATCTGTCACTTGCCAACTTCTGCTCCAAGAATGGGGTTAGCAACATCTGCTACACTTCCTTCGCCAACTACAAACTGTCTTACGTAGAACGGGAGAGCCTAGGTTTATGGACGGGGAGAAACTTACCTTGGGATGTTAGTTACATGCAACTAATGCAAACAACGAGCACAAAATAGATCCCGAGGAATGAATGTAATTTTAACTTGCTTTAAGAGAAAAATACAACATCAGCTTACAAGAAGGGAGCTCCCAATATAGTAACTCATGTGGTTCCAAACGTGTTTAATCTGAAAACCAAGTTTCAGAAGGCAAAAAAATAACAAAAACAGTGGTCGAGTTTTAGAGAGCTGCTTGGAGGTTAAGGCATTGGCTACTCTTTCAGAGGACCTGGGTTTGATTCCCAGCACCCAGAGGGCAGTTCACAACCATCTGTAACTCCAGTTTCAGGGACCCAGTGCTCTCTTCCGGCCTTCGTGGGCACCAGGCATGCAACTGGTACACAGACACAGGCACGAGGCCAAATGCCCCCACACACGGATCATTTGTTTTGTTTCAGTCCAGTGTCTTCCACGAGGGAAAGGAAGACGTTATTTTAACTAAGATCAGTTACAAGGAGGAACAGAAGTTTGGAAGGAAAAGGATGATCCAGATGGAACAAGGCCGATGGATGGAGTTCAGAGCTGTTCAACAGACACAGAACATGCTGAGATAATCTCAATTGTTAATGTGTTTGGAATGAGAGACCTGCTGTGGATGATTGATTGAAAATAAAACACTGATTAGCCAGTAGCCAGGCAGGAAGTATAGGCGGGACTAGAGAGAGGAGAATTCTGGGAACAGGAAGGCTGGGGAGAGGAGAGTCTGCCAGCTGCCGCCATGAGAAGACGTTAAGATACCGGTAAGCCATGAGCCAGGTGGCAACTTATAGATTAATAGAAATGGGTTAATTTAAGATATAAGAACTAGGCCGGGCGGTGGTGGCGCACGCCTTTAATCCCAGCACTCGGGAGGCAGAGCCAGGCGGATCTCTGTGAGTTCGAGGCCAGCCTGGTCTCCAAAGCGAGTTCCAGGAAAGGCGCAAAGCTACATAGAGAAACCCTGTCTCGAAAAAAAAAAAAAAAAAAAAAAAAAAAAAACCAAAAAAAAAAAAAAAAAAAAAAAAGAAAAAAAAAAAAAAAGATATAAGAACTAGATAGCAAGAAGCCTGCCATGGCCATACAGTTTGTAAGCAATATAAGTGTGTGTGTGTTTACTCAGTTGGGTCTGAGAGGCCATGGGACTGGCGGGTGATAGAGATTTGTCCTGACCGTGGGCCAGGCAGGAAAACTCTAGCTACAGAGACCCTGAGGAGATTTGTAAAGCACACTTTTGGGTGTGTCTGTGGGGGTGTTTCCAGAAAGAATTAACTCACTGGAGCAGACCGTATTGAACATAGGCAGTGTCATTCAAGAGACTGGAGGCCGAAATGTCACAGAAGAGGCCTTCTATAGCCAGCAGAGACATTCTCCTCTTGTGTCCAGGCCACAAAAGGGAACCACTTGGACCTCTGCCCCTGCCTCCACCCCATGTTCTGCTTTGCCACAGACCCAAATGGAATGGAGCCAGCCCATGGGGAGTTATTCCGAAACCGTGAGCCAAAGGGCACTTCCCTCCTTTAAATCTAAAAGTCGAAACCATCCAGACCTTAGAAACGATACGATGCCCTTCCTCATGTGCAAAGAGCATTATGTCACCAGCAGCACGCAGAGGACCAAGGCCGCTCAACAACTACCTCCCAAGAGTGTGCTATAGACGTTACTACGGCCTGGAAAAGGGTCATCCCGGTGCCCTTAGAACAGCATATGTAGCTGCAAACTTGTGAATCTATACAATGAGTTAAGGATAGAAAACACATTGAAGAGTTAGCTGCCCCTAAAAATCTCCCGGTGAGCGTGTGTTCTCAGCAAAGATGGAGACCGTCTTGTCCCTGTGACAGAGACACAAGTGGAAGATATTGGGAAACAACCTCTCATCTAAAGCACACAGGGCAGGGAGCAGGGTCTCAACCTACAGCGAAGGCTTCAGGAGCTGTGTTGTCTCAGGAAAGGCTCCCACACTGTCAACTAGACCCTGTGTTGGGGTCAAACAATGGGAAGCAGGAACTATCGGAAAGATCTCAGCACACTGCACTAGAGGAGACCGGTCACTTTTATTCAGAGGAGATGGCACGAAGGAAGGGGACAGAAGAGGGAAGAGAGGCCGTCACCCAGCTGCCACCCAACAGCCAGTTCTAAGACACAAGCACATGGGGAGTCCCGCCTCCTGCCCAGGGTGGCCCGGGTGAGGAGGTCCATCCCCCCCCCCCCCCCCACACACACACACACAAAAACATTAAGTGTTTAGAATAACGCGTTCCTCACCCTTCCCGGTCTTCGTCCGTGTTGTAGTACACCTGTGGGAAAATCAGAGACACATGTAGGCCGGGAACAGCAGACATTTGATTAGCAATGCCTCCCCCCCACTCCTGTGTGTGTGTGTGTGTGTGTGTGTGTGTGTGTGTGTGTGTGTGTGTGTGTCTATCTAAGGAAATACAACCTCCTCACATTCTCCCTGGGAATAATGTTTAGATTTTATAAAGTAAATTCAGAAATGTGACTATTTCTAGCTAAAGCCGGTCTGGTCTAACCAGATTACTCTGGCCCTCTGCCAAGCGTTGCTCCTGACATTAAGAAAAATCCATCGGTGAGATCTAAACACGTTGTTTAGAAGGCGCCATAGGTGGACTGACTGGACACTGCGCTACCAGAGAAGGTAGACAAGAGAGCCATAGCAAGATGGCAGCAACAGAGCCTGTGTTTGCTCCCCAAAGGGGTCTGGCTAGCCCTGGTCTCCCATGGCCTCAGAAATGCAGGGTAACAAAGAAACAAATGTCTGAGGGGCCTATTTAACATATCAAAGCAGATGCTGGCCAGTTCTCCCAGCATCCCTCAGTACCTCTTCTCAGTCGGTTCCCACCCTAAAGCCCGCCCTCCCGGGGGCGGGGCTTCCACTTCCCTTCCCCCAGCCCGATCCCTATATAACTGCCATTTGGGCTGCTCTGATCTCTCGGCCTCTTGACCAGGGATGCATCTCTTTTTGGTGGCTCCTCTCTTGCTCTCCCTCCCCCTCCTCTCATGGTCCGGTTAAGTCAGCCGGCCATGCTCAGCATGGCCTCTTCCCTCTGCCAGCTTTCTCCCTTACATCTACAATCAAAACCTTCTCCATGCTTCAGGAATGGTCCTGTCCTCCTCCTTCCATTTCATGTTTTCATTCATTATCTATCTTCAGGCCATAAAGGTCATGTGGCAAAAGGAAGATCTCCAAGGACAATCATCTTTAGGAGAACTCAGTGAGAAGCAGAATTAGAATTAAAGAGATTGTGAAGCCTCTTGCTGGGCAGTGGTGGCATATGCAGAGACAAGAGGGTCTCCGTGAGTTCGAGGCCAGCCTGGTCTACAGGGCAAGATCCAGGACAGCCAGGGCTACAGAGAAACCCTGTCTCGAAACACTAAAAAAGGAAAGAAAAGAAAACAAAATGTGGAGCCTCCTTCTGGACTGATGGAGGCGAGCAGAGGGTCTGTTGTGGTAGTGTAGTGTAGTGTAGTGTAGTGTAGCGTAGCGTAGTGTAGTGTAGGCTCCTGCCTCGTTATTCCTAAAGCTTAACGGTGAGCCTTTTGTGAATTGTGTCTGTGTGCTGTGGGGATGTTTGAGTTTGGGTGGACAAGACTACCCAAGTCAGTAAGTATCAAGTATTCTCTTCTAAAGCTGTCACTGTCCCTGCCCAACCTGGGCCTGGGCAGACTGGCCGCCTGTACTCTCTCAGAGGCTTCCAACAGCACTGAGGGTGTTGCCGAACCCAGGCCTGGTTGTATAACAAGCATAGTTACCGGAAATGCTCCAGGTTGAGTCATTCTAGTGATTAGCTTGGATATATATAAGAATCTTTCCTCTTAGACTTTTTTATGACTATTGCTGCATTGGATTTTGTTTCTTCTTAAACAGAAAGCCATGGATGTAAAATCTCTGTTTTCATCACCCCAAGAATCAGTGTGGCATCCTTCTGCCTCAAGGACCTCCTCAGCACCTAGCTCTTCCCAGAAAGCAACCTTTAAAAGCCCCAGCCAGCCAATGTCTTGTCCTCCCACTATGCAAAGTGAACAACAGGCTGTTCCCAGAACAGCCAAGCGTAGTTGCTGGGACCTCCAGTCAGGCTCCCTTCTGCTCACTCTGAATCCAGGGCCCCAGGGAGCCCAAGGGGGCTGTGAAGGGGACTTAGGCCAAGCGGTACCAAGCCACCAGGCTGCTTTGCCTGGTGGGGACAACAAACTCTGAAGGTCACACTGCTTCCTCAGAGTCTGCCTTGGGCATGACACTGAGGGGTGAGTGAGGTTGTTAGGCCAGCCAGGCTGGGACACTGTTCCTCTTAAATTCATTTACAGCTCTGTGTATTTCAGAGGAATCTTGCCAAGAGACTCCATCAGGCTATAAGAGTGACGTGTTACCACAGCCAGAATGATGACAGGAAACAGAACAGTTTAGCTCAGTTACTGCTCTTCTGGAAGATACGGGGACCCCACACCATAGAAAGCACAGCTACACGCTTGGAAGCTTTCTAAAAAGGGGGCAGAAAAACACACACACACACACACACACACACACACACACACACACACACACACACACACACACACCCTGCTGGCTGTCTTTTCTGGACAAGATACAACATTCATCCTTTCCTATGTCTTGGTTTCTACAGAACAAGGCAAGATAGAAATGTTAAAGTAATTCTTAGCAGAAATGCACCCCACAAAAAAAGTGTGAGTATATTTATCACCACATTATATCATGAGTGGGGAAAGACACACATGTGCACACAGGCACACATGCACACACCACAGTCCTCTCATTGTGTAGCTGCTCTGTCACTACAGAAAACATTCTCCAGGGCTGAAGAGATGGCTCAGTGGTTAAGAGCACGAACTGTTCTTCCAGAGGACCCAGTCCAATTCCCAGCACCCACATGGCAGCTCACAACTGTCTGTAATTCCAGTTCCAGGGGACCCAACACCCATGGAAAAACATCAATGCACATAAAAAAAAAAAATAAAATGAAACATTCTCAGAAAGAGCAGGAGAAGTCAGCACGATTTCTCCTTCAGGCTGAGGCCAGTCCCAGCACTCAGAATGAGAGGGGACTTGAGTCTGTCATTATGTTTCTGTTCCTTAAAACAGTCCTTCAACCCAAGGACTCTGGATTCAAAGGAAAACCAGTCAAGGCAAAATTAAAATCCCCGTTAGTGTGGCCAAAAACAACTCTGACTGATGCTAAGGAACCTCTTTCTCCACAACCTTAAAGAAGAAAGGGAGGAAAAACCTTCCATTACAGAGGGCCCAGGCATCAGTTAGCACATGAGAAGTCCTGGGCCAGCGGGCAGTTCAGCTCAGTGGCCTTGGAGCCCAGGACACAGACACACTGGTACCCTACTTTTTGTTTTTATTGAGCAATGTCATAATTAGTTCTCCTGTGGCTACATAGTTTTCATCATTAACCTTGTAGTATCTGCATAATCTTCCACAAAACTAAGCCGTCATAATGATCTAACTATTGAACATTATTTGGTTTTAAATCCTTCATTTCATTTGGAGATAGAACCATAGAACTTAGTTTTTTTGAAGGAAGATATTTATCTTCCTTGATCCTTCAGATGAGAAATGATTTATCCATTCAGTGAGAACGATTAACTTACTAAGGAAAAAAATGTTGACAAGATCTTTATTTTCCCCCACTGGGCTAATATTGGAAGTTATTGATAGTTTTACGTTTCGCCACTAGGTGGCGATATGTGCCCTGATAGAGTCTGCTAGACTCAACACAACTTCTTACAGGCAGAGAGGATCAGCTTTCTCCTGTTGCTCTGTCAACAATTTTCTAATAACAGCTCACACCTTTCTTTGCCTTAGAATGTCAGTATTCTCTCCCAAGACAGACTTTTCTGTTAAAAAAAAAAATCTACTTTTTGTGCAGAATGATACCAACTTTCCTGTGCTGCTAGACCTGAGGGTGGGTTGAATTTTGTGGTCTGCTCAGCACCGGCGTGGAGGCGGCAGGAGGATGTGAGCAGGGGTCTTACCTGTCCAGTCCTCTGCAGGTTTGCAAAGTGAACATCCGGTATGAAGAGCACGGGCTGCGAGTGCAGGTCGGGCATGGTTTTGAAGTAGGTGATGTCACTCTTCTTTTGTAAAGGTATGGCGGCCAACTTCCCATCAGAGGCTGCACACAACCACAAAGCCCATGGACACGGTTATGCACGCCGGAGAACTCTCACTATCAGCAGGTCTTAGCCTGAAGCTTTCTCGGCACCCTAGACATGACTAAGCTTTCAATGTGACCCCCACACCCAAATAAACAAAAAGAACGTGGGCTTCCCGGAAGTGCTGCCTGCGGGCGGGCGGGCAGAAGGCTCCTCCACTTCCTGCTGTGCGCCCTGGAGTCCTGAGTCTAAGACTTCTGTTTGCTTCCATAGGAATGACATCACCACATGCCCACCCTGTCTCGGCCGTGTCTTGAGCATCTATCTGCACCTTCCCCGGCAGCCTGCAGGCTGCCACCTCCCTTACCACGGTCGGTCCTGAGGGGGAGACTCACAGTTGTTGCACTGGGTTTGGGAGGCTTGGCCCTTCCCTTTCTTCCGGTTCTGTTTTCTTTCCTCATCTCGGATCTTTCTTTCTGCTCCCTAATAGGGAAACAAAGACAGACCAAGCAAGGTTTGTTCTCAGAGCATGCAAGGATGTCCACACACTCGCACGCGCACCCACCCATGAAGATGGGAAACTGAACAAGGGAAGAAGGAGGCCCAGAAGCCTCGACTCCCTCCCTGAGGTGCAACACTCAGATCTAACCCCTGGGAGACGCCAACCGGCCCAGACTGCCTCCTCTTCCTGTCTCATGCCTCATGAACATGAGTTTCAAATCCATGTGCAAAGAACCAGCTGAGTTTTCTAGCTCAGTGTCACTGATTTTTACGCTATTTTACATTAAATGTTGAGGTGTCATTGATACATTGAATGTCATGGAAATTCATAGCAAGAGGAACAACATACATAAATATAGGTCCAGCTGCTGCAGAATACTCACCAAAACAAAGAGAAACATTAAATGCCCCAGTAACTCCTCATTTAAATCTGCGGCTTTTCAGGGGAAGCAAGAGGGTCTCCAAAATACGTAAGTTTGGAATGGGAAAGGGCAGTGTTACTCGTTGGGTGCATACAGGGCAGTTAGCCATGTGTTGGAAGCTCTGTAGAATTTAGTATTTCATTAAAATAGATGAGGGTCTTTACTATCTACCTGTATAAATGATAACTCACTCAAGACACACCCCAAAGTTAGACAAATTCTTTTCTATTTTTTGCAAAGTCAGTTTTTGTTTTATTTTTAACTATTACTGTCATGTAAAGGTATAAGCTTGTCAGGCAGGATACTGTCCTGCTTAGGTTGTTGTTATTTTGTTCATTTGTTTTTGTCAACTAGACACAAGCTAAGATCATCCTGGAGAACTGGGTCATTTTCTTGATTGATGTGGAAAAGCCCAGCCTGCTGTGGGTGGTGCCACCGTGGGCAGGTGGTCCTGGGTGGTGTACAAAAGCAGGCTGAGCAAGCCAGTAAGCAGCTAGCAATACTGCAGGTCCTGCCGCTGGCCCGCCCTGACTTCACTCTGATGGACCGTGACCTGGAAGTGTAAAAGGAAATAAACCTGGTCCTCCACAAGCTGCTTCTGGTCACAGACGTTATCACAGCAGAGAAAGCTAAGTCCGACAGTGGGAAGATCTGAGTGAGAAAGGCTCCCACGGCTGGGGATTTGAAGACTTGGTCCCCAGCTGGTGGTGACCTTTGGGAAGGTGACCTTTGGGAAGGTGACCTTTGGGAAGGTGACAGTTTTCTGGGAGAAGCGCACCACTAAGGGTAGGCCTTGAGAGTGTATGGCCTCACCCGCTTCCAGTTCTCTCTCTGCTTTATGTCTGCACTGGAAGACGTGCTCTCTTGTCTTCCTGCTCCGACTTTCATGCCTTCTGGACCCTGGAGAGCTACCTCTTCCGCTCGCCCATTAAGGAACCTGAGATTACTGACTTTTTCCTGAATGCATCCCTGAAGGATTGGGCTCTGAAGACCATGCCAGGACAGGAGCTGCTATGAGGACCGGGTTCAAGGCTATGGTCACTACTGGGGACTATGATGGTCATGCTGACCTTGGTGTAAAGTGGTCTAAGGAAACAGCCACTGTCATTCAAGGGGCCATCATCTTGGCCAAGCTTTCCATCACCCCTGTGTGAAGAGATACTTGGGGAACAAGATTGGCAAGCCCCACGGGATTCATGCAAGGTGACAGACAGGCTGAAGGGGCTCTGTGCTGGTGCGTCTCTTCCCGCACCCAGAGGCACTAGCATGGTCTCTGCTCCTGTGCCTAAGAAGTCACTATTTATGGCCGGTGTCGATGGCTGCTACACATCAGCGGGGGGCTGCACTGCCACCCTGGACAACTTTGCCAAGGCCACCTTTGATGCCATCTCCAAGACCTACAGCTACCTGACCCCCGACCTCTGGAAAGGGACTGTGTTCACCAAGTATCCTTACCAGGAACTCACTGACCAGCTTGTGAAAACCCGGTAGAGTTTTCTTTACACTTTACGTGACACTAATAATTAAAAATAAAACAAAAACTGACTTTGCAAAAAATAGAAAAGAATTTGTCTAACTTTGGGGTGTGTCTTGAGTGAGTTATCATTTATATGAGTAGATAGTAAAGACCCTCATCTATTTTAATGAAATACTAAATTCTACAGAGTTTCCAACACATGGCTAACTGCCCTGTATGCACCCAACAAGTAACGCGGCCCTTTCCCATTCCAAACTTGTTTTCACAAACCAGTAGAGTCTCCGTTCAGAGGACCCAGGATCCAGCAGTGGCCACCACATAAGAGTTTTTATACAAGAAAAATAAAGTGAATTAAGTCTGCTTAAAAAATAAGAACTTGGGGGCTGGAGAGATGGCTCAGAGGTTAAGAGCACTGGCTGCTCTTCCAGAGGTCCTGAGTTCAATTCCCAGCACCCACATGGTGCCTCACAACCACCTATAATGAGATCTGGTGTGCTCTTCTGGCATGTAGGCATATATGCAGGCAGAACACTGTATACAGAACAAATAAATAAAATTTTTAAAAAAGAAGAATTTTATATGTGCAGTATAGATTTCAAGAAATAAGAGAGACAATATACACTCTTGGGGAACTATCACTCTCATTTCTAAACTAAAGCTGTGATTTCAGTAAGACCCAAGGAAGCATTATGCATTCAGAGAAGACAGACAGACCTCCCTCCATTAAGACCTGCATCACTTTATTTCCTAGGAATATTTGTGGTCCAAACTTCCGGAAAACATCACTTCTACACTTACAGAAGTGGGAAGAAGTCTGTTTCATCCAAGAGGACACATCATTTACTGCAATTAATGCGATTACAGTTAACCCACATGCAAGGTCCTGAGATTCCTCTTCACATGCGTTTCTTGACATCTCTGCTCTTTAATGCTGAGATATAAAGAAAACCACCAGAAACACTATCGCTGGCTGCTTGGAATAAATAACAACCATTTACCCATCATTTGTCAACTACTTCTTCAGATATATATTAGGAATTTAAAAGAGGAACCATTAGGAACGTGACATATCTTCTGAATGGCAAAGTGTACTAAGTGCGATCCTTTCTGGGTTTTCATGTTTACAAACATATCCACACACATAAATGGTTTTTCCCACTACCCTTTCCTTGCTGAAGGAAATGTCACATGACTTCAGAAAACAAACCCTTGGGGGAGAAAGCATATACCCCCCTTCTCATCCTCTGTCACTAAAAGGCAAAATACATGAATGAAAATTTTTTTTAATTGGCAAACAAATGGTATAATCTATCTACCCCCTTACCTTATTAGACCAGCAGCTCTCAACCTTCACAGGGGTCACACATCAGATATTTACATGATGATTCAAAAAAGTAGCAAAATTACAGTTATGAAGTAGCAACAAAAATAATTTTATGGTTAGGGGTCAGCACAACAGGAGGAGACTGAGGACCTCTGGAGTTCTCAGAGTCTTAGAATCCTTTTTTCTGGGACACAGGCTCACAGCCACAGTGTGACACTCTCCGCAAGTTTGGATTTTTGTCTGTTTAGTTTGGGTTTTTTGAATGTCCAGCTGTCATTCTGACATTCTATATATTACATTAGTCTAAACTGGGACAGGTCCTGTCTGCACTCAGCTTCTCCACTGTGTGAGACCAGCTAAGTGCCTTTTGCCTTCTGACCCACATGTGTGTACGGACTCACTGTGTGCTCTCAGTCAAATGGCCTCTGGGCCCTGGGGGGCCACCTAACTGCCGCTCAGATCTGCAGCTGTGAGGCTGTATCTCCACCCCTGTGCAGCTCCTGTGGCTGTCTTCCTGTTCTCTGGACCACTTCCTCTCTGCTGTCACTGCTCACAGGAACCCATTTCTCCCTGTGCTCTATCATTTGAATACAGCAGCCTGCGGCTGTACCTTTGAGAGTGGCGGGCAGGATGGAATTAGCTACTGGCCTCTTTTCCTTCATGCTCCCTCCCCATCATCTAATCTGAAGTAGTCCCCAGTCCATAGCTGTCCACACCCAGTGAGTGTGTAGTGTGCCCGTGTGTCTTAGCACATGCCGAGGCCGGGGAAGCACATGGAATATCCACCTCTATTACTCTCCGCCTTATTGCCTTGAATCAGAAGCTTGCCATTTAAGCTACACTGGCTGGCCGGGGGCTCTGGAGACCCCCACGCCTCTGCAACAATGTTGAAGTTACAGGTACATGTATATGTCCAGCTTTTTTTTTTTTTAAAGAAGTATAAATATTTGTTTGTTACAAAGGAGTTTGTGTACAGTGGTAAAAATCTGCAACTTCTTGTTAAATTCACATTTGCACTCTCCTTTTTAAACAAACATTTATAATCATTATTTTATACAGATATAGATATGTAAATACAACATCGAGTTCAGTGGTCCTTCAGCATTTTCTACTTAAATGTTTTTTTTTTTAACATAAAAACAGGTTATAATTCCAAAGTTCAGAGTTATTTGAAACTGGAAAATATTTTCTTTGCAGAAAATAGGAAAAATGATAACATTTCCCAATAAGCCCTTTTAAGCCAAATAATAGCTGAATTATACATACAAATATTGATTAGATTCTGGGATACAGAAAAAAACCTATCTTCATCTGTTCAGAGAGCTATGTTTTACTTAAGTTGTGTAGGTGAGATTCCTATTCATCTTCCCCTTCACTGTTTGATTTACAGCAGACATTTTTCTATAGGCTAATCCATAATCTAAAAAGATTTTAGCCTCCCCTCCAGCATATCCTTTCATCAGCTTGATACGGTACAAATTCTTATCCTAATAGTGAAATGTTTCACTAAAGCTTGCCCAGTGATTGGACAAAACCAAAACTTATTATAAGCCACAGTCATCCTAGTGTGCCGAGCTTTTTATATGGGAGCTGAGGATCCAGCTTCAGGGCCTTGTGCTCTTAGCCACTGAGCCATCTCCCCGAATCTACTCAGGCCACATGGTCTCACCTTCTCCACCACTCACATATGATGTATGGACAAATGTGTGATCAGTGCCCATCACAGATGTATGGACAAATGTGTGATCAGTGCCCACCACAGATGTATGGACAAATGTGTGATCAGTGCCCATCACAGATGTATGGACATGTGTGATCAGTGCCCATCACGGATGTATGGACATGTGTGATCAGTGCCCATCACAGATGTATGGACAAATGTGTGATCAGTGCCCACCAGAGATGTATGGACAAATGTGTGATCAGTGCCCATCACAGATGTATGGACAAATGTGTGATCAGTGCCCATCACAGATGTATGGACAAATGTGTGATCAGTGCCCATCACAGATGTATGGACAAATGTGTGATCAGTGCCCATCACGGATGTATGGACATGTGTGATCAGTGCCCATCACGGATGTATGGACAAATGTGTGATCAGTGCCCATCACAGATGTGTGGACATGTATGATCAGTGCCCATCACAGATGTATGGACAAATGTGTGATCAGTGCCCATCACAGATGTATGGACATGTGTGATCAGTGCCCATCACGGATGTATGGACAAATGTGTGATCAGTGCCCATCACAGATGTATGGACAAATGTGTGATCAGTGCCCATCACGGATGTATGGACAAATGTGTGATCAGTGCCCATCACAGATGTATGGACAAATGTGTGATCAGTGCCCATCACGGATGTATGGACATGTGTGATCAGTGCCCATCACAGATGTATGGAAAAATGTGTAATCAGTGCCCATCACGGATGTATGGACATGTGTGATCAGTGCCCATCACAGATGTATGGACATGTGTGATCAGTGCCCATCACAGATGTATAGACATGTGTGATCAGTGCCCATCAGCAGATGTATGGACATGTGTGATCAGTGCCCATCAGCAGATGTATGGACATGTGTGATCAGTGCCCATCAGCAGATGTATGGACATGTGTGATCAGTGCCCATCAGCAGATAGTGTGTCTCACCTTCCATGGCTAACATTCACTCCCTGCGAGATTTCTGAAGAAGGAATATTTACTAACTTGAGGTGTTTAATCTTGTTTATATTTTATTTGAAGTTTGTGGTTGTCTATATTCTTTACACTGCAGTTAATTTGTCTAGAGACAAAATCCTTGGCCATATTTATTTTATTCTATTCAGATAACTATTTTCTCCAGACATAGTATTACTGTTGAAATTTTTGATGATAAAAATCTCCCTATTCGTTTCTTTTTTTTATTTTTATAAATATTTTTATTTTATAATTAATGTAATTTTACGTATCAGCCACGGATATCCCCTGTCCTCCCTCCTCCTACCCCCCATCCCTATTCGTTTCTAATTGTGTATTTTCCTTTCTTTACTTAGATGCTTAAAGTGTAGTTTTATGTCTTTTCAGTCTGATATCTGTTTACTTTTTTTTTTCCTCCTGAGACAGGGTCTATGTAGCTCTGGCTGTCCTGGAACACACTACATAGACCAGGCTGGCCTCAAATTCAGAGACCCGCCTGCCTCTGCCTCCCCAGTGCTGGGACAAAGGTTGTGGGCCACTTCCGCCCACTAGCGGTCGCTTCCCATTGTTGTCCCGAGGCGGTTTCTCCGGCATGGGGCAAACACTGTCTCAGGATCTTCTGATGTGTCCTTCTGTTCCATTCCGCGGCTAGAGCTGGATGTTGTTTTTGTCGTTTTATTCTTCTCGGTGACCATTGTTGTAGAACACAGGGATCATCTTTTGCTCTCTAGTCTGGTGTTTTCGCTCTTCTCCTTCACAATTCCCTTCCATTTCTGAAATCGTGTTCTCCCACCTGTACCTTGTTAGGATTTTACTGTCAGATTGTTCGGCCGTTTGTGGCTCGCACATTTCTTTTTGTTTGTTTGTTGTTGAGTCAGGGTTTCTCTGTACAGCCCCGGCTGTCCTGGAACTCTGTAGACCAGGCTGGCCTTGAACTCAGAGATCCACCTACCTCTGCCTCCCAAGTGCTGGGATTAAAGGCGCTCCACATCACGGCAAGCATTTCTATTCTTAAGGCATCTCGTGTGCACGCTTCTCAAGGTGTGGCTTCCGTTCAGCTTCTCCTGTCATCTGGATTCACTGGCTCACCTTGAGATACTGGGCTGTGTTCTCACTTGCTGGGTGGAGACAGCTCCGTGGCCTTTCATTCAGTGTTTGTTAGGAAGTCGGTCTGATCCTAATCTCATTTACTGAAATTTGGGGGGGGTTGGCTATTTTCTGAGTTATTTTCCGGTAATCTAAGTAAGCCAAGGCAGTTCCTCTAGCATTAACTCTTGTGCCCACTCTTCTGGAGTGTTCAGAGCAATATAGAAGAGCGCGTTCTTCTGTTATTATTGTTGCTTTGATTTATTTGTTGGGGTTGTTTTATGAGTGTTTAGTCTGCATGTATGTATGTATGTACACCACATAAGTGCCTGATGCCCACAGAGGCCAAAAGGGGGTGCCGGATCCCTTGGAACTGGAGTTACCAGTTGTAAAGGTGCCATCCAATTGCTGGAATCTGAGTCTGAGTCCTCTGCAAGAGCAGCCAGGTCTCTTCAGCACTGAGCCAGCCCTATCCTGTATTTTCTGATAGTACCACTCTGCATCTGTCTTAGTTTGCTTTATATTGTTCTGATAAAGACCATGACCAAAAGCAACCTGGAGAGGAAAGGGCTTGTTTAATTTTTCAGGTGATGGGCCATCACAGAAGGACAGGAGTCAAGGCAGGAACCAGGAGGCAGGAACTGAAGCAGAGGCCATGGAAGAGCGTTCCTTACTGCTTTGTCCAAGGCATGCTCACTCTGCTTTCGTACACACCCAGAACCGCCTGCCCAGGGGCAGCACCAGCCGCGGTAGGCTGGGCCCTTCCACATCAACCATCCATCAAGAAAATGCCCCACAGACTTGCACACAGGCCAATTTGCTGGAGGGATTTTCTTAATTGGGGTTTCTCTTCCCAGAAAACTCCAGCTTGTGTCAAGTAGAAAAACAAACAAAACTCCTGGAGACTGTCCCTTCCCATTCTCATGTTCAGTTTTCTTCTGAGCATCTCTTTCCTGGCTGCCTCCCTGCTCTCTCTCCAGGAGCTGATTTTATTCTCACCAGCTTTTCTCAGAACACGGTTTCTCCCTGGAACAGAACTTCACTCACTGTAACTTCTCATGGAAAACAACACAGCCATGTTCAGTCTGTCTGCACACACCCACTCAGGCCTGCAGAACGTGCACTCTCGGCCTGGTCTCACCCTTCTGTGCTTTGCAGAGAGCCTGGGCAATCGCTCTTTGGTAAAGCAGCTCCATCACTTTCCCTCACAGAAGCTGGTGTCACACAGGTCTTCAAATGGTCCACACTACACCACACTCGTCCTCACAGAAGCTGGTGTCACAGAAGCTGGTGTCACACAGGTCTTCAAATGGTCCACACTACACCACACTCGTCCTTACACTTGTGACAATCTTCTTGTATCCAACCTTCCGAGTTTAAATTTTGTCATTTCAACTCTTCTGTCTCTTTTATAGTGCAATCATGGAGATGAAAGCACTGTGTGCTGAGTGCATAAGAACTGATGGATTTGTTTTGTAGGTGTGATTTCTGTTTCCAAAAGTTCTAGGTGAGGCCCCAGGCAACACATCAAATGTCGAAGGTTACACTGATAAATTCTAGAACAGCATCTACACTCTACGAAAGTTCTAGATCTGTCATTTCAGCTGTGTATTCAGACCAAAGCACAGCATGCTACAAACTGAATGTGAGCTCCTCCCATTCCACCCACAGACAGCTCCTGTCTGAAGTGAAGCCTTTTCCACTGGTGACATCATGAGGCTCGTCCTTGATGATTCTAACAAAGACTCACAGGAGAGCTCTTCTCTCTCTGTCCCACGTGAGGACAAGGTAAGAAGGTGGCAGCCAGTAAGATGACCCTCACAGGGACTGAACGCCTCGGTCTTAGGCTTCAAACCCCCAGAGCTGCAAAGAGTAAGCTTCTTTCTACTGCCCTCACCACCTAGGCTGTGGTGTTTGGTTTTAGCGACCTGAGAACCGAGCCATAGGGCAATGGCAGAATGGTAGGCTGAGAAGAACAGCAGCCGAACGGAAGAGCAGTGGCCTGGTGACTCCTTAGATGTCTAACAGGACTCAAGAATGAAAGACCACCACGTCCACGTGTTCGAGAAATGATTCTTTAGACACCACCAGACAAGAAAAAGTGACGAGAGGGATGTCATCAAAAACAACACCTAGTCGTGACAACAACACCTTTCTGACAAACTGCCATCTTTGCTCACCTTGTCGCAGAAGACCTTGATCTGGCAGTACGCTCTGTGGATGGGTTTATTGCTGCGGTTATTGTAACTGTATGTGTCGATCTGAATCATCAGAGGAAGTCCTTTCACGCCCTTTTGGGAGGAGAAATCTGTACTCAAGCAGTTCACGGTGATGAAAATCTGAAGGAGGGAGAAAAAGAAGGAAGTTCACAAACTGCCGTACAGAGGATCTCCTGAGAGACATGAGCAGATATGCAAAGCCAAGTCCTACAGGAAATATCAGGACACGTGACAGATATCCAATACTTTCCCACAGAAACCTGCTGAATGCACAAATGTATGTATCATATGGCTATAAACTTCTTTTTCCAAGACAGGGTTTTCCCTGTGTAGCCTTGGCTGTCCTGAAACTCTCTGTAGCCCAGGCTGGTCTCAAACTCAGAGTTCCACCTGCCTCTGCCTCCCAGTGCTGGGATTAAAAGCATGCTAAGCAAGAAAGGTAATCTTAAAAATTAAAAGAACAGGGCTGGAGAGATGGCTTAGCAGTTAAGAGCATTAATTGCTCTTCCAGAGGTCCTGAGTTCAATTCCCAGCAACCACATGGTGGCTCACAACCATCCGTAATGGGATCAGATTCCTTATTCTGGTGTACATATAAATAAATCTTAAAAAGAAAAAAATTAAAAGAACAAGAAACCAGGTGGTGGTGGGGCATACCTTTAATCCCAGCACTGGGAGGCAGAGGTAGGTAGTTCTCTGGGTTCAAGGCCAGCCTGGTCTACAGAGTGAGTTCCAGGACAGTCAGAGCTACACAGAGAAACCCTGTCTCAAAAAATAGATAAATAGATAGATAGATAGATAGATAGATAGATAGATAGATAGATAGATAGATAGATAGATAAAATACATTGACTATAAGCTTCTAAATAATTTGCTTTCATAGTTGACCTTGAAATAGTTTAAATGACCTTCTAGAAAGTTGGTCAGATCGGGTTGGGGATTTAGCTCAGTGGTAGAGCGCTTGCCTAGCAAGCACAGGGTTTGGTCCTCAGCTCCCGGGGGAAAAAAAAAGTTGGTCAGCAAAGCCTTACTCTTTTAGCCATAAATGAGTTAGGTAACACACTGTTTTCTCAGCTGGAGCTGGAGAAACTGCTCAGCAGTTAAGAACACTTGCTGCTCTTGCAGGGGACTAGGGTTTGGTTCCCAGGACCTCCATGATGGCTAACAATTGTTGTAACTCCAGTTCTAGAGGATATGACACCATCTTCTGGCCTCTTATTAGCCGAAAGTGTGGCACACACCTGTAATCCCAGTCTCCTGTGTGCACATGGCATGCATACATCATATACCCAGGCACACACATATAAATTAAATTAGATAATTTATTTTAAAAGTCATCACTTATAGCCGGGTGGTGGTGGCGCACGCCTTTAATCCCAGCACTCGGGAGGCAGAGCCAGGCGGATCTCTGTGAGTTCGAGGCCAGCCTGGGCTACCAAGTGAGTCCCAGGAAAGGCGCAAAGCTACACAGAGAAACCCTGTCTCGAAAAACCAAAAAAAAAAAAAAAAGTCATCACTTATAATAGCATAACTTTCCCTAGCCCTGATCTGCAAGATAAAAAAAATTAAAGGTTAAATCAGAAAAAAACAACTTCTTTTTTAATCCAATAGCACTGAAACCTGGTTCTGTTTATATAAAACTTTCTTCCTTTACTGTGAAGCAGGGGGTCTGGAATACTTTATTATTTAATATCACTGGCACCTAATACAATGCCTAGCAAAGGACACTCACTGAGCACTGGATAAATGACCTAACTTGCAGAAAGCCTTGAGAGTCAGAAGCCATGACTTCAGCCCCTACTCCAGCATTAACCAGTTAAGGAACCTGAGACAAGGCACTCAACATTTTCAGCTTTCAGTGTTCTCTTTAAAGCATCTGTAAGCCCTCTCCCCGCAGAAGGAAATCTAAATACTAACCTATTCCATGTTAGTGGAAAAGCATAAGAGCTGTCGAAGGCAGGAAACGAAAGGGGATTAAATGAAGTAACAGCAGCATCGACAGCCTCCAGTTAGCAGGAAGAGGTGGCACACACTTGAGAGAGAGAGAGAGAGAGAGAGAGAGAGAGAGAGAGAGAGAGAGATCCTCATCTTACAGCATGTAAGAAAGACAGTAGAAACCTTCAAACAAAAAACAACATGCAATAGACATGCCATGAGTCCAAAAGGCTAGAAACCCTAGTCAGTGTTTAAGGGTTCCATTTGATTAATAGAACAAATAAAAACAAGTCTTATTGTAAAGGATTGATAGAGATAGGGGATGGGTGTGAAGGACGAGCTAAATAGGCTAAAATGACCTCATTCCACACAAAAACGGGTCACAGTCAAAAGATGCCATTTGTCATAGTTTGGATTGGGCTCTATGCTTTGAAGGTTGTAGCCAGCCCCTGGCTCTTGGCATGCTCTCTGCTTCCCGGGCCATGCTGATGTGAACAGCCCGTCACATGCTCCTGCCATGATGCCTCCCAGCCACAAGGGACTGAAGCCTTCCAAAACTCAGAGAAGAGAGAGAAACCAAACCCCTCTCTTCCAGCAAGCTGTTTCCTCAAGTATTCTGGTCATGGTGACACGCTGGTTTTAAGGGGATTCTCAGCCAGGGCTATACAAGGCACATAAATTATTATGCATAACATAACACAACTTTTCAAAAGTTTTCTCCCCTGGCCTTTTGACGGACTTCAAAACCTAGACATTTTGCACCCTGCCTAGGGTTGCCCTGCAAGACGACAAAGGCCTTAGACTTCTTCCTAAGCATCACTGCTGTTTGAAGCCTCACGGGCTTGTGTAGTTTACACCGGCAGGCATCTATATTCCAATTCTTTACCTCTTTACACATTATCTTTTTGTCTGTGACCTCCTCCTTGTAGTCTTAGGTACATTAGTAAGGCACCAGGACAGGTGACAAGTTTCAATAATGTGCTAATCACAACAGCTGCCCGCTGTGTCACAGGCTCGGCCTTCCCAGTCACCACCTAAAAAAACAAGCACTCTAGACCTTTTCTGTCTCATTGCGAGAAAAGGTCTAGAGAGAGCTCATGGGCAGGTGCTTTGAGGGACATTGGATTCGTGTTTCCCTGTTTCTTTGGTTGTGAGACAGGGCCCTCCTCTGTAGCCCAAGGTCACTTAGAACTTGGGACTCACTGTTTAGACCAGGCGGGTGTTAAACTTGGGGTGATCCTCTCGATGAAGCCTCTCTAGAGCTGGAATTACAGGTATGAGCCACCATGCCCAACAAGAATGAATAAATTTCAGCTCCTTTACACACAAACACAGGCACACACAAAATGGCCCACGCACACACATTTGCACACGCACAGACACATACATACATACAGACAGACACACACACACACACGCATGAAGGAAAGGATAACTGTATAAGGTAATAAATGTTAATTTCCTTACCTTATTCTTTATATGGACCCTGTAAGATCATGTTATATATCTTAATATACAACAAAAGATACTTTAAAATACATTCATTCCACTCATTTATTCTTTTCGTTCATTTATTCCATCTATAAGAATCCGTGGAAACACACGATAGATCAGTGTTGGACAGAAGGCAAGTCTACCTCATAGAGGTAACAATTTGGGGGGGGGGGTGCCACAAGCACTCAGCAATGACCATCATACAGTAGTCCAGGAGAGGTGTGAGCAGAGGCCCCAGGCACACAGCATCAAGCCCTCAGCCTGGAGGACACTAGTGAAATGAGCCACAGGAACACAGGCTTGAGCAGGAGCTCATGACTTCTAAGGAAGGGGGTGCGGGGGACCAACTGAAGACACAAATGCCTGAGTGGTGGGGACTCCTAAGAAAGGCTATGGAAGACAGGATGCTTCCAGGGCACGTTGTCCTGAACAGTCACAGTAACAGAAAATGCTACCTCCAGCCTCGGAGAGTCCGTAAACGGCAGAGAAATTTATTTAACGTTCATTCGAGGAGCAAATGGTCTCCAATGTCTTAAGTTTCTCGAGGCTGTGGGAGCACAAACATACAAGCTATGGGCCCTGTAACCACAGAAGACAGGGGTGAGGTGGGGTAAGGGACGATGTGCCGGTGCCTTAAAGATTACAATAGCTCCATTGACCACGGATCTGCAGGTCAGGAAAGAGGTGTCCTTTCCCAGGGACACTTGACTTCTTTTACTGCTGGCAATGTGATGATCTTGGCCAGAATGCAGTTTTGTGTCCGCAAATTAGATGTTCACTCTGTTGAACCGTGTGGTTGTCCCTAATTCTGGCTGTGCACTTCACAGAGATCTTCCTGGTGCTGACTGTAATCCTGGGTACCTCAATCCTGACCGGTTTTGTTCCCACTCCATCAAAAGGTCTGCCTAATAGAAGAGAAACTAATGTTTGGGTGGATATTTCCTACATGACTGGGCTTTATTTATGGCTGGCTCACTACCTTACATGCCCGTCATTCACTGTGCGTCTATGTGATAGGCAGAGAGAAATGCTGATTATGGTCTGTCAACTCCAAGTCTAAGAGAGCTAGAGCAATAGATCATGACTATTTACAGGGACCACTTAAGTAGCCTGGTCATCTGCAGCCAATGAGATGCTCACTGGCAATGTACTCCAATGGACTCAATCGTCCTTGGAGGAGCTATAAAAGTCAGTCACCCAGGACACAAGGTCCTTAAAAGCCAATTGAGTTCCATGGGGAGACATTTAGACTCAGTGCTCTTAAAATAGAAAGGGTCTCCACAGAAGGCCCAGTGTGACTGAGATTCAAGGCATCCTGATCCCATAAAAGGGAAAGCCAGGAGTTTGTCTTCTGTGCAGCCAGCGCTGGATCTCCAGTCAGCGGAGCAGGCAGGATACTGTGCTGGGCTCAGCGCCGCTCCGCTCAGCGCCTGCTTCCTTCTCCTGATGACTAACCCCATGGAAAGCAACTGGCAATGCCCGATGGCATCCATCTTAGCCTGGCCACGCCACACTCAAAATCCAAGTGGTTGAACTTTAACCACAGAGGAGGCGGGGAGCATGGAAGGCCTTGGAACTGATAAGCATCCGTTTGTTTCTTTCATCTTGCAAACCCAACCATGTCCCAGCTCCACGGGCAGCAGGCAAGCAGGAGAGCAACTCTCTCAGAAGTCTACCTACAAGGAACTGGG